TTTACCTTCTAGAGTTTAAAAGTGAAGTAGTCTAGATAAGGCCTTTATTTTGAACAGACGAAGTCTTTTACTTTGAAAAGAGGAGCTGCAGTCTGTAGAATAAAGACTCAGTTGTCCGCCCTAAAGTCCCCTCGTTTGATTGGTTCAGGTGCGTTCTGGGGGCGGGACATGATACGTGATTGCCTGTAACAGGTAATGAGCTTCGTTTCTCAGAATTCACAAGTAACCGCACGCTGTTCGGCGGCACCTGGACGATTTAGCGGATTTCGTTTGCGGAAAAGCGCTGAAAGGGAGATTTTACCAAAGTTAGTCATTTCCTTTACTAAATCCGAAGGCTTGGCCTCAGGTGATTAGATGTAGATATTGGCAGATGCAATCATATTAGAGCAATTTTCACTCCTGAGGGGCGGTTTCGAATTAGATTTGCCGCAAAACGTCACAGCATGTCGAAGATGTTGTTCCAGGTGATTTTTGGGTGCGTAACAGGTGAGTATCGACCAACGGTTTCTCCTCCTCCTCTTCGCTCTGGCCTTTGTCCACCTAGAAAGTAAACACAGTGTACTCGGTTTACTTTACACCTAACATGTGTAGTTTCTCCAACACGTTTATCTAATGTTGAGTTGTTTAAAAAGCAGCGTGTCGGTGTCTATAGGGATTTGGGCCTGCTGCGCGCAGGAATGTGGCCGTCCGCCGTTAAAGCAGGACAGGATTGTGGGAGGGGTGGCCGCCTCGGATGGGTCGTGGCCGTGGCAGGTCGACATCCAGGTAAAAGTCCCGTTACATGAACAGTATTTTACTCTTTAGTCCTCAGGGTGCACACGAAGCCATGTCCGCGGGTGTGTGCGCTCTGGTCTGGGTTTTGTTTGTCGAGCTGACCTGCTGAGAGAGGGGTTTGCCTCTGATGCAGAGCTGACTCATTGTTGTTTCTTCTCTGCCTACAGAAATCAGGCTCTCATGTCTGTGGAGGCTCCCTCATCACTAATAACTGGGTCCTGTCTGCTGCACATTGTTTTCCCAAGTAAGGAAACTCTTCTCGGACCCTCTGTGGGTGTTTTACGTGTTTCTTTTGCTCTCTGTTTGGTGAAAATCCCTTTAGGATGCATACATTCTGGCTTCCAGGGCCGATACCGACCGGTTTCTGACTCCTGCAGCTACAGAACAATTTTTTTTTCAGTTTATATGCATTTTTATTGCCAAATGCATCATTTGATGTAATAGAGCTCAGCCTCTTTAACAGGGTTAGTACCGCTTTCACCGCCTTCTTTAAACCTGCTGTTGTCCAGTCCTCATTCCCCTGGTGGAGGATTGAGGGTCCTTCAGGTGGCATATGGCAAATATGTATGATTAACGTTTCTATTTTATTCATATATTTAAAGGGTTAACATGCAGATTCTAATTCCAAAACTAAAACCATCTATCGAAGATCTTTTTAACTGCTCGTTTGAGTGATGAATTCAGCAAAATTACAATAAAAACCTGCGAGACACAATATTCCACATTTAACTGCAATTCTAAGTCCATATTTAGACATCTTTCAGCCACCCTTTGGTTTCATGTTTTAGGATAACTTTATCTATCTGTCCTCTTCCAGTCCATCTGACACTTCCCCTTACACCATCTATCTGGGCCGGTACCAGCTGAACGGAATCAACTCTAACATGGTGACAAGTTCTGTGCGCCAAATATCGATCCCATCTGACTATGTAGATCCTCAAACTGGGAATGATGTGGCTCTGGTGCAGCTGTCTGCACCAGTGACCTGGTCAGACTATATCCTTCCTGTGTGTTTGCCTGCATCAAGCACGCTGTTCCCAGCTGACCTGGTGTGCTACGTCACTGGCTGGGGGAACGTACGGCAAGATGGTAAAACTAGCTAAATTCTTTGTTTGTGGTTGTATATTTTACTGAGAGGATGAATGTAATGGTGGTAAACAATTGTTTAGAAAACCTTTTAAAGCAGAAATCTAGCATCTGCATCAGTCTGTCAGTGGTTCGTGAATCCTTGTCCTGGAGCGCTGGAATTCAGCATTTCATCTGATTTTAATCATCAGGCGATTAACAGGCTTCTGCAGAGCCGGATGAGCTGCTGCATAGGTGATTCAACCACTGAATCAAGTGTGCTGGAGCAGAGAAACAACAAAAATGTGCTGGACGCCAGCCCTCCAGTACCAGGATTGAGAACCACTGGTCTAGATAGCGTTACAAATACACACACATGCCCTGTGTTTGACATCCGTACAGTGGTCGTCTGACGTTATTGGCTAATGCTGAGTGGTGTGCAATTCACTGGGTGGGGCTCTACGGAACAGGGGAGCTTGCTCAAGAGAAAAAAAATGGATGTGTTGCCGTTATCATTGCACAGGGTAAAGCCTAGTTTATGCTTCTGCATCGGTGCGGAGACTGGCAACACCATTATCCGTCCTTGCATGGGCTCTTCGACACGCTCGCATGGACAGATGGAGTCGTGCCCACTTTTCTAAACATCGACGGGAATGCAAGCTTGTTGGTAAGGATACCACTTCCTTTAGATTTAACTGCCCCTCCATTCCCCCCTTAAAAAAAAGAGCCAAAGATATCTAGCGACAGACAACTTGGCTTGAAGAATACCTCACGTAAAAAATATGAACACTTATTCACCTGTGGCTGGAGGAGTAAAAAGATTCACAGCTAGCGTTTTATTCATGGACGGAAATGACGGTAAACGTGGGTTTAGACATGGCAAGTGCATGAAGAGGTGGAGGAATGAGAGACGAATGTCCGCGTTAAAGTCTCTGAAAAACAAAAAGACAATAGTAAATACTGGGGATGTGAATCCCCACCGCTGAGTTCGATTCGCATCGTGATACGCTACCAGTGATACGATACATTAACGATCTAGTGAAACCCTCGACGATAAGGTCCGATACGATTCATCCCTGCTGATGATACGGTCTGACTTTATACAATGCGATTTGGTTTAATATAATCCATGAGACTTGAAAGTATTCAACACAAACAGCCCACAGTTGGTTTTGAAACATCATAATGTTTTCCTCTCTCTCTTTGTAGGATCTATTTGATACTGTATTGTTTTTGATTAATCTATAAACATACAAAAAATGCACTTCATTATGGTATGCACAAGAGGATTGCTTTATTTCCCATGAAGATTAGATCATTAACAGCATCATTACTTTTCTGGTTATTCTCATTCTCTTGTTAAATTAAAAATTGCAACTGCTTGCAAGTGAGAGTGCATACAGGAGTATAAAAATATTCTTTTGACTGATAGTCACAGCAACTGTAAACAGTACCAGTGAGGGATACAACCTGAAAGTCTTTCGTCTTCGTCTTCCTCCGCTTATCCGGGTCCGGGTCGCGGGGGCAGCATCCCAATTAGGGAGCTCCAGGCCGTCCTCTCCCCGGCCTTGTCCACCAGCTCCTCCGGCAGCACCCCAAGGCGTTCCCGGACCAGATTGGAGATGTAACCTCTCCAACGTGTCCTGGGTCGACCCGGGGGCCTTCTGCCGGCAGGACATGCCCGAAACACCTCCCCGGGGAGGCGTCCAGGAGGCATCCTGACCAGATGCCCAAACCACCTCAACTGGCTCCTTTCAATCCGGAGAAGCAGCGGTTCTACTCCGAGTCCCTCCCGAATGTCCGAGCTCCTCACCCTATCTCTAAGGCTGAGCCCGGCCACCCTACGGAGGAAACTCATTTCGGCCGCTTGTATCCGCGATCTCGTTCTTTCGGTCATTACCCAAAGCTCATGACCATAGGTGAGGATTGGGACGTAGATCGACCGGTAAATCGAGAGCCTGGCTTTCTGGCTCAGCTCCCTATTCCCCACGACTGATTGGCTCAGCGTCCGCATCACTGCAGACGCCGAACCAATCCGCCTGTCGATCTCCCGATCCCTCCTACCCTCACTCGTGAACAAGACCCCGAGATACTTAAACTCCTCCACTTGAGGTAGGACCTCTCCCCCGACCCGGAGGTGGCAAGCCACCCTTTTCCGGTCGAGAACCATGGTCTCAGATTTGGAGGTGCTGATCCTCATCCCAGCCGCTTCACATTCGGCCGCGAACCTACCCAGCAAGAGCTGAAGGTCAGAGCTGGATGAAGCTAGGAGGACCACATCATCCGCAAAAAGCAGAGACGAGATTCTCCTGCCACCAAACTCGACACACTCCACACCACGGCTGCGTCTGGAAATTCTGTCCATAAAAGTGATGAACAGAACCGGTGACAAAGGGCAGCCCTGGCGGAGTCCAACCCTCACTGGGAACAGGTCCGACTTACTACCGGCTATGCGGACCAAACTCACGCTCCTCTGGTAAAGGGACTGAATGGCCCTTAACAGAAAGCCACCCACCCCATACTCCTGGAGCGTCCCCCACAGGGTGCCCCTGGGTACACGGTCATAAGCCTTCTCCAAATCCACAAAGCACATGTGGATTGGTTGGCAAACTCCCATGCCCCCTCCATCACCCTTGCAAGGGTATAGAGCTGGTCCACAGTTCCACGGCCAGGACGAAAACCACATTGCTCCTCCTCTATCTGAGATTCAACTATCGATCGGACCCTCCTCTCCAGTACCTTGGCGTAGACCTTTCCAGGGAGGCTGAGGAGTGTGATCCCCCTATAGTTGGAACACACCCTCAGGTCACCCTTCTTAAAGATGGGGACCACCACCCCGGTCTGCCACTCCCTAGGAACTGCCCCCGATGACCACACAATGTTGTAGAGACGTGTCAACCATGACAGCCCTACAACATCCATAGCCTTGAGATACCCAGGACGAACCTCATCCGCCCCCGGGGCTCCGCCGCTGTGTAGTTGTTTGACTACCTCAGCAACTTCTGCCCCCGAGATCGGACAGTCCATCCCCAGGCCTCCCAGCTCTGGTTCCTCCTCGGAATGCGCATTGGTGGGATTGAGGAGCTCATCAAAGTATTCCTTCCACCGTCCGACTATAGCCTCAGTTGACGTCAGCAGCTCCCCATCCCCACTGTAAACAGTGTGAGCGAGTTGCTGCCTTCCTCTCCTGAGGCGCCGGAGAGTTTGCCAGAACCTCTTTGGAGCCGATCGATAGTCTTTCTCCATGGCCTCACCAAACTCCTCCCACGCCCGAGATTTTGCCTCGGCAACTGCCACTGCTGCACCCCGCTTGGCTATCCGGTACCTGTCTGCTGCCTCCGGAGACCCACAGACCAGCCACGCCCTGTAGGCCTCCTTCTTCAGCCTGACGGCTCCCCGAACCTCTGGTGTCCACCAGCGGGTACGGGGGTTGCCACCACGACTGGCACCGGCCACCTTACGACCACAGCTAGCAACAGCCGCCTCGACAATCGCAGAGTGGAACAAGGCCCTCTCGGACTCAATGTCCCCCACTGCTCTCGGGACGTGGTCAAAGCTCTGCCGGAGGTGGGAGTTGAAGACCGTCTTGACAGGTTCTTCTGCCAGGCGTTCCCAGCAGACCCTCACTATGTGTTTGGGTCTGCCAGGTCTACGCGGCATGTTCCCTTGCCATCTGATCCAACTCACCACCAGGTGGTGATCAGTTGACAGCTCCGCCCCTCTCTTCACTCGGGTGTCCAAAACATACGGCCGCAGGTCAGATGATACGACTACAAAATCTATCATCGACCTGTGACCTAGGCTGCCCTGGTACCAAGTGTACCGGTGGGCATCCTTATGTTCGAACATGGTGTTCGTTATGGCCAAACTGCAGCTTGCACAGAAGTCCAATAACAAAACACCGCTCGAGTTCAGATTAGGTGGGCCGTTCCTCCCAATCACACCCCTCCAGGTCAAGCTGTCATTGCCCACGTGAGCATTGAAGTCCCCCAGCAGGACAATGGAGTCCCCTGATGGAGCACTATCTAGCACTCGTCCCAGGGACTCCAAAAAGGGTGGGTACTCTGAACTGATATTTGGCCCATAAGCACAAACAACAGTCAGGACCCGTTCCCCGACCCGAAGGCGCAAGGAAGCTACCCTCTTGTCCCCCGGGGTAAACCCCAACACACAGGCAGAGAGTCTCGGGGCTAACAAAAAGCCAACCCCAGCCCTCCGCCTCTCACCCGGAGCAACTCCAGCAAAGTAGAGTGTCCAACCCCTCTCCAGGTCTCGGGTTCCAGAGCCAATGCAATGTGTCGAGGTGAGTCCGACTATATCTAGCCGGTACCGCTCAACCTCTGCCACAAGCTCCGGCTCCTTCCCCGCCAGCGAGGTGACGTTCCATGTCCCAAAAACTAGTTTTCTTGTCCGGGGATTGGACCGCCAAGGCTCCCGCCTTGGTCTGCCACCCGATTCGCATTGCACCGGACCCTTCATGTTCCTCCTGCGGGTGGTGGGTCCACAGTTGGTCGAGCCCATGTATCCGGTTCGGGCTGGGCCCGGCCGGGCCCCATGGGCAAAAGCCCGGCCACCAGGCGCTCGCTCACGGGCCCCAACCCCAGGCCTGGCTCCAGGGTGGGACCCCGGTAACCCTCCAGGCCGGGTACTCCGACTCTTCGTTTTAATCGCCATGAAAGATCCTTCGAACCGTTCTTTGTCTCACCCTTCACCTAAGACCAATTTGTCATGGGAGACCCTACCAGGGGCACTAAGTGCCCCAGACAACATAGCTCCTAGGATCATTAGGGCACTCAAACTCCTCCACCACGATAAGGTGATGGTTCAAGGAGGAGAACCTGAAAGTCTTTCCTTACAAAGTGCAAACTTCACACTACCCCTGTACTCTCTTGTAGTGAGAGAATGGCATACAGGCGATCTGATTCTGAACAGAACTTGGAGAAAAAAAACTAAAAAGAAACCTTTGTTAAACTGGTCCTACAAGAAAATGTGTGCCAAAAATTCATGTATTATTTGCAGTCGCAGACCGTCTGGCACATCACTTGACCTTACTGAGTGATTTATTTCAGATGGCTCAGTGTCAGGTTTTTCTTCAAAAAGATTAATTGATCGACATGTTCAGGAAGAAGCAGACTGCGCTGAGCTGTAACAATGTCTCCAGCTGTGCTGAAGACCCGTTCTGATGGGACACTTGTTGCAGGGATGGACGAGTAGCCTTTGGCCAATTTCGAAAGGAGTGGAAGATCCACCTGTTCTTTCCACTACTGCAACACATCACCATTCAGCGATAAACATCCCTCCCTCTGTACCTCACAATATCCTCCTTAACTCTGTTCCTTATGCCTTTCTTTGGTGCTCTTGGACTGAAGAACTCTTCAAACATCTGGTCCAAGGGTGACTTATTTTTGGGTGGCTCTGCTAAAAGAGAAATAAAATTGAATACTGCAGAATATTTCTCAAACTAACCCAATACTACAGGTTATAGTTTAGTTTTAAGTTCATGACAAAAACAAAATTGTTTCTGCCCATCCCTCCCCATCTTGCTCATCATCATCGCCTTCATCCCTTCTGTGGCAGCTCTGGTGGTCATCTCCTGGTTCTGCAGCCAGCTTCTGTAGTGTGCCACACTGCCGTTGCCCTCTGCCTGATAATAATTAGCACTATTAGATTTCTGTCAACTTTAACAGACAAAAATAAGTTTCACCTGTTTTGCTGCTTCTGGCTGTATTTTCATAAGTCAAGTCCCCTGTGGAAGTTTGCTGGAGCTGAGGTATCCACGCCATGCCGCCTATTCATGTGTGTGGCCATGTTCGTGGTGCTACTAACATATTTTATGGCAGCATGACACTGTTTGCAAATGGCATTAGTCTTGTCAAGTTTTCCGTCTAATAAAATCCAAAGTGTTGCCAAACTTTGGACTTGTATGTCTTCACGCTAGCGTTGTGTATGTCCTCCTCACCCGTTCCGTCCTCCATGTTGCTGTTTGTAAGTTTGAGTGCCTGCGATGGTGTGTTCAATGCACCTCAGGAAAAAATGAAATAATCGATCTAGCCATTCCTTTTTCCGATGAGACACAATAGGAAAGATACATTTATTTTTTTTTTTTTATTTTTTACTTTATTTACAATTGAACAAATACAAACTCGTTGGGGGAACACAGATCAGAACATAACAGGCCACAACTATAAAACAAACAAATAAGGCATAAACAAAATAAACATCCAGTCTTTAAAAAAATCAAATAATTGTCCATGTCTCTGCTTAATGAGGCCGCTTCCTTGTTCGTGTCTCCCAAAGCTTTTAGCGATGTCAGTAGGGATTTCAATTCACACTGCAGTAGATTAAGGGATGGCGTTTTGTCTCTCCATACATTGCGCATTTATCCGCCAGTTGTATCCGATGCTCCCTGAAGTTTCTGCTGCAGTCGTCTCCCTAAACTTAGGAACAAATCACCGATATATGAATCTCTCCATCCCTACTGTCTTAGACTGGATACATGACAGGATACCACAGAACAGTGCTACGCCCTCTGTTGTCTTGGCGGGGAATTGCTTTGCAACACTCCCCAGGAGACGGAGAAGTCCGAGAGCAAAGTGTGTGTGTGTGTGCGCGCGCGCGCCCGTGGAGTTGATGCAGAAGCATAAACTAGGATTTGGACTCACTTTTGTAGATGAATTAAAAAACATCCATAGTTTCTGAAAAGGGGAAAACTCTGAACTGCTACTATAAAGAAAAAGGCTATGATCATGTCAAAATAAATCCAGATTTCTTCACATGTATGTTTATGCATTTTGGCAAATCCAGCAGCATGGTTCCCATAGGCATGATGGTCAATTCCATTTATGTGGGATTGAATTGGAAACTCTGAGAACCAGCGCTGCCTCCTAATCTGCTGCTGCCGCTTTAAGTTTTAAATTCCTGACATTCCTCTTCTTTGCAATTTGTCTCAGTGCCTCTGTCCGGAGTAGGGACTCTGCAGGAAGTACAGGTGCCAATCATCGACCAGACATCATGTCAGGACATGTATCTAATGGACCCGGCAGACCAGGTGGACATCCTGTCTGACATGATCTGTGCTGGATACCAGAAGGGTGGCAAAGACTCTTGCCAGGTACTGTTGGATCAACCGTTTTCTTTCCCAGAACTGCTTTAGAGAAGTCACTGATGTAGTGTGTTGTCTCCTGAAGGGGGACTCGGGTGGACCCCTCGTCTGTCAGATGCTCAACGGGACCTGGGTGCAGGCCGGGGTGGTGAGCTTTGGACTGGGCTGTGCAAGCCCCAACAAGCCAGGTGTGTACAGCAGGCTGACCAGCTACTCGGACTTCATCAGCTCCATTGTACCAGAGCTCCAGCTGTATGGACGGGCTCATCAGAACTGGTGTGGGAGTGTTGTCGTGCTCAGCTGTCTGGTTCTTCTGCTGCTTCACAGATGAGATGCTTTAAATGGAGCGTTTGAAATGGGCAGAACCAAAAGCACTCAGAATGAAGGATTTTAATGAAAGAGTGTTTTGGTAATACTTCTTAGTCACAGTAAAATCTATTTGTATCTTAAATGTGCACAAAGCCATATGGAACTTTAAACAAAGGGTTTTATAGCAATAATGTTACATCTTGAGCTTTGATTGGCCATGATTGTTTTTCCATTTTTTACTTTGAATCAGATCACTATACCATTTTTGACTTGGATTGGAAATAAAGATATTTTTAAGGTCCGTGTTTGGTCTATTCTCTCAATCTGGATCGAATCGTTGGGTCTTAACCGCCCATTCAAGTTTACGGTGAATTCTTCTTTTACTCTTGTTGGTTTAAAAAAAGCCATTTCTATTGCCTAAACATGAAATAATTATCACACCTCCAGGGATGAGTGATGACATGTTTTTAATCCACAGATGGCAAAGCATGAAGGTTTTAAATGAACAAAAACCGATTTCAAAAGTCCTCTTAAATGGCTGTTTTGGGATATTTGAAACAGTTTGTGTAATAAATTATGACTGATTACATTTATCTGTAGTAGAAATCCTAAATGGCCTCAGTTCAGAAAAACTGCTCACCTGCTACAGGTCTGAACTGAGGACTAGTGTGATTTCAGTCAAGACTAAATGGCTCCAATCTCAGAAATGTCACTAAAGTTCACAAACATTTTACCCCTTCACATTGCTTTCACTTAACTTAGGGAAAACCATTAATTCCCTGACCTGCAGTGAAGTTACGTTTAGGTGCTGCTGGTGTTAATTCAACCAGGAATCCATATAAATAACCATGTAAAGTGAAACAAAGCAAAGTTAGGTTAGAAAAGTGTGGTTCCATTGCTATAAGATAGCAGATTGGAGCCGTTTTAAAACTGCATCTCTGACTAGTCATTGGTTCATCAGTCTTTGATGTAAACTTTATTTCTCTGCATAGAGGCTGTTCAGTAAGCCATCAACACTGGGTGAGTGTGACTAACCTTTACACTGACAAAAACACCTAAAATGGCTCAAATCCTTGTAGGATTTTTGTGCTTGATGGAATTCTGTTCAGATGTTAGATGGTTTGGGAAAACAAAAGCAAAACGCGATTGTTTGGAGGGAGGAGTGAGTCAGGCTTCGGGGGGGATGGTATCAGAGAGGATCATGGGAGAGCCGAGCTGTAGCTCCTGCTGCAGAGACTCCAGGTCAGCTGGAGTCATGCGGTGGACCTCGCTCCAATCAGATAAGAGGGAGGCCGAGAGAGGGGCTGAGTCGTAGCTGGTGGAGAGAGAGAGAGAAAAATGTAGAAAACAGTGAACGAAACTGGTTTTCACATGAAAGCGGCATGATGTGTGAATGGTGACTCGGCTGCAGCTCGTTTGGCTAAAGTCAGTTGGCTGCTTGAAGAGCTTGCTCATAAACTTTGGTTTAATTCACTTGTATAAAAAAGTTTAAGTTAAATCCATTACACAAAGACTGAATGACATAGCTGCAGGAGTCGAGCCTTCATTTCTTTGTTTCCTTAAAATGAACCAGATTATTTTATTTTCCATTCCGGAATTTTCATCGAATACTCGACTATTACCAAAGCACGGGACGGATAATGCAGCCAAACCAGAATCAAGATCTCTAAAGAACTTTCAGCAAGCCAGAAATGGCTAATGGCTTTTGGGGAATCGTCATGAAAGAGTTTTCTTTTTTAATTCTTGATATTAGGAGCATTTTTATTCTTTATTGGTTGAGCTGAATGGCTTACATAAGTAAATATACTGAAAAGGAGTAAAAACCAGCAAACTAAGAAAGCTTCAACTATCTTGATCAGATTGCTGAGTTTTGCAGGCCCTTGATCTCAGCAGCTAACTACCACACAAGGTCGTCTGATCTCCATCTGCTTCATTAACTTTTGAATCTGGTGAGAAAATGGGTGACATATCAAAGCTGGGACGCAAAGACGGTAAGCTGGTAATAAACAGTGAATGAATCATACGATGGAAACGGAACAGATCTGGACCTCACCTGTCCCGGTCACAGTGCTGCAGGTCTGTTAGAGACTGGTTCAGGAGATCGTCCAGATCAAAGCCCACGCCGTATCCCGCCCCGCTGCCTTTTGGGGTGACTGAGAACACAGGAGGTAAAATATCCTCCACCTGACACAGGAAGAGTGGAAAATATTGGGTCAACTGAACGAGGAGAGAATCTGACTGGAGAGGGAGTGTTTGTAAAAAAGCATACCTGGGACTTTGAGAGCTGCTGTGTTACTTTATTGATGTCAGGAGCAGCGGGGGGTCCCTGCTGACCAGTATCTGTGAATCCCAAACTGGGATGGGGCTGGGAGGGAACTCCTAACGTCGCAGGGAGATGGTTTGTACTCTGTGTTTTCTCTTCTACAGAAGGACAGAGCTTCTCCATCGGGCCTGTGCTCGTAGTCAACGGGTTGACGTTGTTCTGACCTCTAACGTTCCCGTTCATCTCTCGGGTGTTCACCGTCGAGGCTTTCAACAAAAAACTCTCGAGGGGTTGCAGCTGAGGTTTGGGGTGGTGTTGGGTCTGACCATGAGGCTGGAGGAAGCTCGGTGGTGGCTGCGATGTTCTGTTGGGTTGCTGAGAAGGCCTGGTCTCCAGCTGCTGCCCGCTCCAACTCCCCACTCCACAGCCGAATCCACCCGGAATGCTGCTGTCAGCGCAAGGTTTGAGTGAGCCGTTTTTAACTAATCCACCGGTGACGGTCATGATATCCACCCCTCCGCTCACAGCAGCGACGACATCTGCTGGAGACTTGGAGAAAGGCAGCTGCTGCGTGTTGGGAGGAGGAAACAGCCCCGGCTGGTTTCTTTTCATCTGAGGGACCAAAGGCTCATTTGACTGAATTTTCCTCACGTCTCTGTCAGTTTTATTGTTCAGGACGTTTTCGCCGACACATCTGTGTGAGTTACAGTCCTTACCCTTTGGTCCCTCGTTACTAGCATTATGGGATTTGTCGCTGCAGCTGTCCATCATCTTCGTCCAGCGCTGCAGCAGGCTTTTGTCGTTGTCGCTCAGCAGAACACCACCCAGCAAATCCCCTTGTTTTCCCTCTCGTCTTTCCTTTTCTTTCATTTTCCTCTCCTTCTCTTTTGCGCGTTCCTGCCTCTTCCTTCTTTTCTCTTCTCTCTCTCGTTGACGCTCCTGGGCTGTGACAGGCCGCCGCAACTCAGGAGTAGAAGACGAGATGCCTCCTGATATGCCCGCGTCAGTGCCCAGAACTGAGACTGAGACACCTCCATCTGCAAAACACAATCAGAATCAAATCGAGAAAGGGAAGCATACCAGAGAGGATGGTAGAAAAATGAACTTACCGGTCCTGACTTTATGTCTGAGAGCTGATTTCAGTAGGGCTGCCTTGAGTGCAGCTTTAGTATCGTCTGAAATGGCGGTGCCTTTCCTGGTTCCCTCTGGTGCACGCGGAGGAGGCCTTGCATTCTTGGACAGAGACTGGGAAAGTGACTGGGACAGAGACTGGGCCTGCGCTGCCGACAGAGAAAGTGAAGGCACAGTGGTGGGAAGGGGGGTGATGGTCTGTGCTTGTGTCGCAGGGATGGAGGCCACGGGCCGGCTCTGGGTGCTAGGAGGCAGCTGGGACTCGCTGACTCTCATCGATTCAGACGGAGCATCCTGAGTGGACACTGGGGTTGTTAAATCAATTGTCTCCAGCTGACCACTGTCAGAGTTGGCACTGGGCATGTCCACATCAACGGGACACGCTTGGCTTTTACTGAGGAGGGGGAAATTATGGGTCACATGAGGTGGGACGACTTCTAAAAGATCTGCAGGCTTATGAAAGGTTTTTATCTGGTTTGAAAATGCTTGGCTCACATCTGCTGGTGGCGGATCGTGTTGCTGATGAGGTTTCACATCTCTGGGTTGCTGGATTTGTGTGTGCTGTGCCATTTGTTTGTTCAGGTCCACATTTACTGGTTGAGCTCTTTGCTGGTTGCTGTTTTGAGCTGCCGCTCCACTATGGGCCCTAGGCAAAGGCCTGAACTGGAGTCTTTGACGACAGTTCAGGTTCTTTTTATGAAAGTCCTGGATCTCCATCAAAATGGCCTCTTTAATTTGTTCTTTATTCATTGGAAGCTTATCAAACTCAAAGTCAAAAGCTGGCACACAGCTGGGCTCGTCGTCCGAGTCATGGTACTTAGCCAGGTAAGGATGCTCCAGTGCGTCCTTCACGCTGATGCGTTCACGGGAATTGAAGCGCAACATAGCCGCCAATAGGCCTAAAGCCTCCGGTTCAGCTTGGGGGTACAGTTTAGCCAAAGGCACAGGGGTCCGCGGTGGAAGACTCTGAACATAGGAACGGACCCTCTCAGCTCTAATGGTGCTGATCAAATCCTCAGGAGGAGTGCCTAGCACACTCAAAATCAGCTGGAGTTGGTGCACATAATGTTTCCCAGGAAAAAGCTGTTTACGGCCCAACATTTCAGCGAAGATGCAGCCCACAGACCACATGTCAATGGCCAAACTGTAATGGTTCAAAGACAGAAGCAGCTCAGGAGCACGGTACCATCGGGTCGCCACGTACTCCGTCATGAAGGAGTGAGACTCCTCTGGGTGTGAACTCAGACCCCTCGCCATGCCAAAGTCACCAATTTTCAGCTCACAGTTTTCATTCACCAACAGGTTGGAGGGTTTGAGGTCGCGGTGGATGACATTGGCAGAGTGCACGTATTTGAGGCCACGGAGGAGCTGGTACAGGAAGTAACGCGTGTGCTCAGGGGTTAGAGTCTGCGCAGAGTGAATGATCTGGTGTAGGTCACTCTCCATGAGGTCCAACACCACATACCTGCACACACAGAGATGACTTAGACAAGCAGCTGACCAAATACTAAGGATCTTGTGTTTGCAACAGTGTAATGTTCAGATATGTGCAGAGTTGGCATTACAAAAACAATAAAGTACATTACATACACGGACTTAAAGGCAGAGTGGGGAAGGTTCGGCTGTAGGATGTCTTTGATGGCAATAATGTTGTCATGTTTGAAATGCTTGAGAATCTTCAGCTCTCTTAATGTTCGTTTAGCATTTGTTACCACTTCAAAAGCATTGGAGATCTTCTTTATCGCCACCTGCTTGCCTGTGGAGTGCACATGTAGAACATTTCATCGTGACTTATTTCAAACAGAGGACATTTTCCAAACTCTTTAAAGACATCTTCCTTACCGTTGTCCCTTCTTCTGGCCGATGAAACGACGCCATAAGCACCAGTACCAATGGTTTCTATGATATCGTACTCCTCCCCAACATCGAACTTCACATCTAGAGAGTGCGCTTTAAGCAAAGCCAGGTTTGTTGCTGCTGTGCTGGTGTCTGAGGTGCTGCCTGCTGCCTCGGCCTCACGCTGGTTCTGGCTCTCTCTGCTGTTTTCGGTGGCCATTTTTTCAGGCGACATGGTGCTTTTGGCATCTCCACAGCGCTCAGCGGACATGTTTCTGTAGTACCAAAGTGAGTCCGTAAGTTATATTGTTTCCCATGTCCTTCTCTGAATATCTGTCAAATATTATTTTATTATTACATAAATGATTATGAAGTCAATGTTGTGATTGATAAGCGTTTTAAGTTTTTACATGTTTATAAAGACAAAGTTTCTCTGCTTATTTAAAAAAGGTATTAAACACTCTTACCAACTGATGAAATGGGCCAAACGTAAACCATGAAAACATAGACTGTTGGTGAACCTTAATAATATGTTCTGAAGTTATTATGTTTACTTAGTAAATTGTTTTGCTAAATCAAAGAAAAAAATGTTTGTGGTAACATTTAAAAATTATTTGAGCAGAGGTACACCTGGGATTATTGAATAGGTAAAAATGTTCATTTAACTGACTATGAAGAAATAAGACGTAACCTCGGATGTCATTTTAAAAAAATTAATGGAATCACTAAAAAAGCATTAAGTTTCCACACATTTTAGACTACTCTGGATCTTATTTTATTATTTTCATTCATTTTTCTGTCTGTTTTTGAAATTTTATTCAAAATGATCTTCTGTTAAGGTTTAATACACAGCTGTTAACTGTAATTAATGGCATCTATGCCATTGACTGCCATAATGCATTATTCAGTCATATTTTTTTTTCTGGGAATAAACATAAATGTAGAGTTTCAAGTATTTTCATTTTCTTCTGTACTAATCCGAACTTGGAAAAAATCCCATACTTTGCCAGCCTGTGAAAAAGTTACACATACAGGTGCTGGCCAGTAAATTAGAATATCATCAAAAGGTTGAAAATATTTCAGTAATTCCATTCAAAACGTGAAACTTGTACATTATATTCATGCAATGCACACAGACCAATGTATTTCCAATGTTCATTACATTTAAATTTGATATTCATAAGTGACAACTAATGAAAACTCCAAATTTGGTATCTCAAAAAATTAGAATATTCTGAAAAGGCTGAATATAGAAGACACCTGCTGCCACTCTAATCAGCTGATTTACTCAAAACACCTGCAAAGGCCTTTAAAAGGTCCCTCAGTCTTGTTTTGAAGGCACCACAATCATGGGGAAGACTTCTGACTTAACAGCTGTCCAAAAGACAATCATTGACACCTTGCACAAGGAGGGCAAGACACAAAAGGTGATTGCTAAAGAAGCTGGCTGTTCGCAGAGCTCTGTGTCCAAGCACATTAACAGACAGGCGAAGGGACGGAAAAAATGTGGTAGAAAAAAGTGTACAAGCTCTAGGGATAACCGCACCCTGCAGAGAATTGTGACGACAAACCCATTCAAAAATGTGGGGGAGATCCACAAAGAGTGGACTGCAGCTGGAGTCAGCGCTTCAAGAACCACCACGAGGAGACTCATGAAAGACATGGGATTCAGGTGTCGCATTCCGTGTGTCAAGCCACTCTTGAACATGAAACAGCGCAAGAAGCGTCTTGCCTGGGCCAAGGACAAAAAGGACTGGACTGATGCTGAGTGGTCCAAAGTTATGTTTTCTGATGAAAGCAAGTTCTGCATTTCCTTTGGAAATCAAGGACCCAGAGTCTGGAGGAAGAGCGGAGAAGCACAGAATCCACGTTGCATGAGGTCCAGTGTAAAGTTTCCACCGTCAGTGATGGTGTGGGGTGCCATGTCATCTGCCGGTGTTGGCCCACTCTGTTTCCTGAGGTCCAGGGTCAATGCAGCCGTCTACCAGGAAGTTTTAGAGCACTTCATGCTTCCTGCTGCTGACCAACTTTATGGGGATGCAGACTTCACCTTTCAACAGGACTTGGCACCTGCACACAGTGCCAAAACCACCAGCACCTGGTTCAAGGACCATGGTATCCCTGTCCTTGATTGGCCAGCAAACTCGCCTGACCTTAACCCCATAGAAAATCTATGGGGTATTGTGAAGCGGAGGATGCAATACGCTAGACCCAACAATGCAGAGGAGCTGAAGACGACTATCAGAGCAACCTGGGCTCTCATAACACCTGAGCAGTGCCACAGACTGATCGAGTCCATGCCACGCCGCATTACTGCAGTTATTGAGGCAAAAGGAGCCCCGACTAAGTATTGAGTGCTATACATGCACATTCTTTTCATGTTCATTCTTTTCAGTTGGCCAACATTAGAGAAACAAACATTTTTTCATTGGCCTTTAGAATATTCTAATTTTCTGAGATACCAGATTTGATGTTTTCATTGGTTGTCACCTATAAATATCAAAATTAAATGTAATAAACATCGGAAATACATTGGTCTGTGTGCATTGCATGAATATAATGTACAAGTTTCACGTTTTGAATGGAATTACTGAAATATTTTCAACCTTTTGATGATATTCTAATTTACTGGCCAGCACCTGTAGTGTGTGTGTGTGTGTGTGTGAGTGTGTGTGTGTGTGTGTGTGTGTGTGTGTGTGTGTGTGTGTGTGTGTGTGTGTGTGTGTGTGTGTGTGTGTATTCCAACAGCACGGAGACATTAATCATCTTAAAAATAATATTTTATCTTTATTTTATTGCCTTTTCATTAATTAATTTATGTAGTATATGAGATAGCTCGTATGTGCTCCTGGTTTAAATGCACTGCTCAAGAAAATAAAGTGAACGCATAAACTGCACAATGTAATTCCAAGTCAATCACACTTCTGTGAAACCAAATTGTCCACTTAGGAAGCAACAGTCAGTTTCACCTGACAAGGCACTGATGCTATGGACTGGCCCGCCCGTTTCCCTGAACTGAGTCTAATTGAGCACATCTGGAACATCATCTCGCTCCATCCACCAACACCACGTTGCCACACACTGTCCAGAAGTTGGTGGATGCTTTAGTCCAGATCTCGGAGGAGATCCCTCATGAGATTAATAACGATACTTCATTCATTCAGATCTAGGGTGTCTTATTTTTGTGTTTCCTTTATTTTTAGCAGTGCATTGTTCCTCGTTTACTTCACACCTTGAGGCCTGGTTTGAACTCTTTTAGACCAAACCTGTAGCTTTTAGTGTTTAGAGAAGCCTGATGACGAACCCAACTGAAGCGGATGATTACAGCATTTAAACATTGACGTTACATGGTAACAAAGAATAACTTACTTGACAGGAGCAGCCTAACCCACAGGGGCGTCGGCTAGTTAACGTTACGTGAGGCTCTAGGTTTCTCTTGAGCCGTAAAACCATAACTTCATCCACATGAAAACAAAACTTCACACTTCGAAACCCCGTTTACAAATTGCGTACAATGCGTCCAAGTCGTGAGCAAAGCCCCTACGGTCCACTCTTTTTTAAATCGCCAACCTGCACGATTATACAGTTGTTTTGTCTGCAGCTTCCTCAATCACTTCCATGTTTTAGTTGAGTGCCAAGCGGCGGACCAATTAAAGGAGAGGAGGACCAGAAAACTAACCAATAGGAATAGAGAACGTCTAAAGAGGGCGGGACTTTACATTGGACACTAAGGGCTCTGTGGTATTTATTTAATTTTGGGTGGCGACGCTGCAATTTGCCAGATTCCGATCGAGCAAAAAATACCAGCCAGTGTTATACAAACAATTTCCATATGGAGCAATCAAGGGACTGTAGCAAATTCTAAATGGTAAAATAATAAAATATTAGTCAAAAGACTTCTAAAAAGGAGGAATTATCTTTCGGCAGAAAATTAATAAAAGTTTGTTTTAAATAAGATCTTACTGAACCCCCCTTCTAAATAGAATTAAAGCACAAATTACATTAGTTAAATTTTTTTTTTCAGAAAAGATGACATTTTTAAAATAATAGCTTTTAGCCTGTTGAGGCACGTTTTTGATGTGAGCTTACATATGATACCAATTTTAAATACTGTTTTAATTTGCTTTCATGGTTTGTGTACTTTGTACTTTTTGAACAAAGCAACACAATTTGTCCAGAACCGGTAAATGTGTCGTATTCAATTATAACAACACGATTTAACAGAGGTGTGGACTCGAGTCACACGACTTGGACTTGAGTCAGACTCGAGTGTTTATTTTAATGACTTCTGACTTGATAAAATCTATAAAGACTTACGACTTGACTTAGACTTGAACTCCAATGACTTGCGATATGAATCGACTTGCATCTGTTGACTTGATGACGACTTGAGCGTTTTTCATATTTTAGCACAAAAGGGACATGACATGAACAAAAATCTTACATCATTCTTCGTTCTGGGTTTGATCTTGTTCTGCTAAATGCAGCAGCAAAAATCTTACATCATTCTTCGTTCTGGGTTTGATCTTGTTCTGCTAAATGCAGCAGCACTTTGTTTGTAATCTATTTCAGTTGCACTTTTTACTTGTTTCAGCAAATAAATGGATTTTAAAGAAGCTTTATTTCTGGAATTTATTTATTATCATTGTCATTAACCCTCCCACTGTCCTAATGGGTGGCCCCGCCAGGAACGTTGACCATTGAGCAGGGTTGATGGTTTATATGACCTCACCCCTGCTGCCACATGGACCTCAAGGGATAAACCGTCATTCCTGCTCAATGGTCAACTTTCCTGGCGGGGTCACCCATTAGGACAGTAGGAGGGTTCAATTGAAGTTGGACAGATGACTTGATTATGACTTGAAAATTCAAAGTTAAGGACTTGGACTTGACTTGGACTTCCATATCATTGACTTTGGACTCGACTTGGACTTGGTTGTCTTTGACTTGACTGGAAAGACTTGTAACTTACTTGTGACTTGCAAAGCAGTGACTTGGTCACACCTCTGTGATTTACATAAGAACCCTAGTTTGGTGAACACTCGACTATATTTACATTGATGGTATATGTTTTTTACAGTAATAAGATGCCCACATTTTTTTTGAGACTCACCGAAAGGCATTGAATTCACGAATAAAAAAGATGTGGGTTCAACTTTCATTTTGGAACAATTGTTCAAGCAAGGGAAGGGAATGATCTGAGCATGCAGGAGGACTGACCCATCTTAAACCTTTGTCGGCTGTGCTGAAGAGTACAGAACCAAATTATTTAATTAATTAACTGCGTGTTCTCTTGTCCTCTGTCCTCCGGGCCACACACACACACACACACACACACACACACACACACACACACACACACACACACACACACACACACACACACACACACACACACACACACACACACACACGGGACTGTCTCAGCTGTTATATATTTTCCTTAAGGAGTGTGCACGTACAGCATGCGCGCCTCGTGCACAAGCCTACTATTGAAGCTGCCGTTACGCTTTTGGCCTGAGGGGGCAATCGCGAGCATAAAAATTCAAAAGTCCGAAAAGTCCCTTTAAACAAGAAACAACCAATTTTGTACCCATAAACAATGAATTTTACAATCATCCCATGTCTTCAATGTTTTTTAATAGAATTTCAATTATGTTTAAAATCTCTGAAACACCTCAACAAATATAGCAAAAATCTATATAACACGTTAGCTGAACTTCCAAAGTGATTTCCTATTTCTATATGATAAATGCTGTACCCTCATTGAAAGCTGTACTCTACTTGTTCTTTATGTTCTTTTGTCTCTTGTTGTTGTCTTATTACTAGATATTTACAAATGTTATAGCAAGTTAACTGCTCCTTTTGAATTTAAGTTTTGGACTTAACATTGTCAAAGTGCCATGTTTGTTTGTAAATTTACTAAATAAAAAATATAATAATAAGAAACAAGAGAACTCTTCCTGTCTGCTGTAACACGTGGACCGAATCGTCCAGTTAGAGAGAGAGGGATGAAACACTATTAGACCAATCAGAAGTGAAAATGGCGTTTCTAACACGTAACACGTTGCTTTGCGTGAGGATTCTGTTCGGTTCCAGCGGTCAGTTCTTCAGTTCGACACAAATAATAGTTCCAAGTCTCCCTTATGGCTGCGCGTCAGGGTTTACCGAGATGGGAGAGAAAAGCGAGAGTGTTTTTGTGTTTGTTCGGTCTGTGTCTGTCTGTTTATGCCCTCCATGTGGAAATCTCCAGAGAGAGAGACCCAGACTACAGAGCTATGTGTGACCTGGGGGAATCCGTGAGCTGCTCCAAGGTTTTCACCTCCAGGTAGGAGATCTCTCCTCCCCTCGCTCTGTTTAGACAGCTGCAGAACCAACAAACCTCGCTGATATGGTTTATTTTCGCAAGAACAGATTCCTCGTGGGATTGCTAGCTCTTTGGTATCCACGTGTTAAATTATTGAAATACTTTCCATCACTTGCACCAATATGCACATGCACACTGGTCTTTGTTAGAGTAGCTGTTTAAAACAATTGGAATTATCTTTCTTGTTGTTCCAGAAAAGCTCAGAGTCCCTCTGCTAGACATGCCAAAGCCTTTGCTAAACAGTATTTTGTTAATCATTTGAATGCAATTTTAAATTGTGGGAGTATTTATCTACGAATAACAAGACAATTGGATGGATGGGTTTTAATAGAAGCAAAAACGTAATTCATCAAGACAAGCGTTTTGCCTGAACTTTGACTCTTTTTTTCTGCAGATGGGGACGTGGTTTTGGTCTGGTCCAGTTCTTCGTGGACAAAGACAGCCCCCTGAACCAACCCAACAGTTTGCTTGGCATCATATTTTACACTCTACAGATGGGCCTCGGTTAGTCTGATGTTAAATCCAGAACAGCGTTTTTAGACTGAAAGCTTTTTTCTTTGTCTTCTGTGGTTTGGTTTGTATTTTAATTACATATATGAAAATTATGGGAAACCTTTTCTGTGTTTTTAAAAAAGAACCAAAAATGGAATTCGAAATCAGACACAGCAAGAACGTACCAAAGATTATGGGATTGCTTCTGCACAAACTGGGACTGTAATTCATGTCTTTGTTGCAGGACTGTCTCCGTCCAGAAAAGCAGCCCTGGCCTTGGTCCTGTCCTCCTGGGTGTCCATGGCTGGTTCTCTTTATCTCGCATCTATTCTGGCCTTTGTTCTGGGAGATTTCTGCATGGTGTGTGTGTCCACATACATCGTCAATTTTGCTCTGCTCTATACCAACCTGAAACGAAGGAGAGCAATTGAAGAGATGAAAGAAAAGACAGGATAAATACTTGTGAGATTTTTTTGTAAAATCAAGCTGCTTGTTTTATTTTATTTTATTTTTTTTACTCATAGTTAGAAAATTAAGTTGTTTAAAATTCATCTCAGAAGATCAGTTGGATGATTTTATTAAATCTTGTGTTAATCAGTCTTTGTGAAGCTCATTACACATTTTAAGACTGTTGTGACATTGTTTAATTTTAGCTAATTATCTCAAATCACAGAAATGGAGACAAAATCAGATTCCGCACCATGCAGATACTCAGATGGGCCAGCAGATAGAGCCAAATACTCAGTTTTAATCTAGTTCTGGAAAGATGAATTGTTTGTTTTCTGTACTAAATAATGAGAAAATGAACAAATATACTTTTCAAAAGTTAGCAACAGACAGTAAATGTTTAGATAGCCCACTTAAAACAAAGTTAACCTGCTTTTACCTTAAATTGTTGGAGTTGGAATTTTTTTTTCCAGAAAAAATGTTACATGTTTTTTAGTGATCTGCTGGTTACAAAGTGCCCAAAGTTGCTTTTTATTTATTGTTTACAGGTTTGTCTGTCAACAAAACACACCTTTTAGGAGTTTTATGTCCAAAATGAATACAACATTGGGAAAAGATCACAAGAATGTATAACTAAGCAAAAAAGACAAACTAAAATCTAAACAATTCTATTAAAAATAATTAGGGGCTTCTTCACAGCAACAGCCTCTGATTGTTATTGTTTTTATAACTTTATTCTGTGTAAACGTAAATAAGGAAAACATGAATAACAAACTAATTAGCAAAAACAATTGCTCTTTGAAGAAGACACTAATAATCACAATTTCATGTAAAAACTATTCAACCAGTAATTCCAACAGAGACATTTAGAAGATTCGGACAATCAAAGACAGAAAAAGAGAAACCCATTTCTTTCAGAAGTGCTTCAGGAGTGGAAGGTTATCCGCCACGTCCTAAACCAAAGCTCTAAACGTCTGCAGGAACGATCCACTATCGACTTGTCAGGACATCTGGAAGCACGGTAAGCCTGATTTAGACAGTAGAGGTCTGCTCTGAGCCAGCTGTGGATGTAAAACAGGTACAGTCTGACCAAAGGCTTGTATTATTCTTTAAAACCAAAGCGTTTTTAGACACTCACTGGAAGGAGTTGGAGTTCCTGGTGTTATTGGAGAAGCTGATGGAGTAGGACAGATGAATGTGTCGTCAGGATCTTCTCCACTGGAGGTGAATTGGACAAAACCAGGTTTATCAGACTTGATTTTAGAGCTGATCCAGGACTGGTAGTGAGACACTGGTGTAGACTCCTGGCAGGCTGGGACGAGCACAACCACGACCAAAACAGTGATGGGGTCATTTTGCATTGTCGCTATATGTGTGGGTTTTTTTTTTTCAATATGTGTATTTACCCTTTTTTCCAGCCTTTTGTGTAGCTGCTTATTGTCATGGGGTGTTGATGAGGTAGAAAACATGGATTCTATCGTTTGATTCAATTCAATTTTATTTATATAGCGCCAAATCACGACAAGAGTCATCTCAAGGCACTTCACATAATAAACATTCCAATCCAGGTCAGTTCAGTTGAACCTCTTCTTAAGTACGTGTGCAGTTTGTAAGTTGGTGAACATTAAGCATGTTTTTTGAACTATTTTATAGTTGGCAGTGCTCATGCACCTGGTACCGGTCTGTTGGGTTCAAGGTTTGTAATCTCGTAGAATGGTAATTTGGCGACTTAAGCTCAATGCCACAAATGTTGGTTTTATTCTCAACAGATATCAACACCATAGACCACAATACTTTATCTCAGCTTGAGCAGTAGGTGGGGATCCCTGGATGTGCTCTGGAGTGGGTTAGGTCCAATCTCTCAGGGAGAAGCTTCTGCATAAAGCTAGGCGACTTGCCCTGTGAGGGGAACCTCAGGGGTCTGTTCTTGGTGTGTTGCTGTTTCCCTCTATCTCTTATGTTCTGTGTCCCTTTGTTCCCCAGCCCCTTCCTGTTCCCACTTCAGGCTCTCCTCTTGTGTCCTAGTCACTCCCTGATTTTCCTAGTTGTCTTTAGATTAGTCCTCCTCACCCATCTGGTTATTAGTGGTTTATTTTTGCCCTCTGTCTTTTAGGTTTAGGCCCTGTCCACACGTAGCCGGGGATCTACCAAAACGTAGATATTTTTCTGTTTTGGCCTGTCATCCACACGAAAACAGAGTTTTTTCACATGAAAACAGATCTTTTTAAAAACTCCGGCCAAAGTGAAGATCTGCGTTTTCTCCGTTTTGGGTGTCTGCGTGTGGACAGACAAAACCGGAGTTTTAAGGTCCGCAACGTCACTCTCCGTGACAAAAAATGCTGACATCACGTGTGCGACCTGTATTTACACTAGCCGGCAGCATGGATGCCCTCAGAGCTGCGCTCGCTTTATCAATTGTCCAAGTGCTTTTTGCTTGTTTGTTCTTGCAAGCGGAATTACTGCTCCTTGCGGAAGACCACAGACGAAGGACGAGGTTAAGAACGGGGGAAATACTGCCGCCTACAGGTCTGGCATGTCCTTAACAACGTATTTATCCGGGTACGTGTGGACAGAGTTTTTTTCTAAAACGAGATGGTGTGGATGCAAGTTTTTGTAGGGGCGGATATTCATTTTTTTTTTAAACCCGGCTACGTGTGGACTAGGCCTCAGTCGTCTCCTTTTAAAAGCAGCTGAAAACTAACCTGTTCAAGCTGGATTTTGCGTGACCTTAGTCACTACCCTCTCCTTATTCTGTTCTTATTCCACCTTTCCCGGGATCCATTGATTTTCCTCTTTCCTATTAATTGTCGCTCTCCCTTTCCTTACATTTTCTTTGTTCTTTTCTCCTTGTAAACATATTTAAATCATTTTTTAAATCTTTTTATACTTTAATTTCTTTTCTGTTTTTGCTTCTGAGAAGCACTCGTGATTTTTATCTACAGAGGTGCTATATAAAAGATTGTCTTCTAAATTGTGGAATGCACTGCCAGTTCAGATTAAGAGACATCCTAATCTGTGAAGCACTTTGTGACTTGTGTCTGTGAAAAGTGCTATATAAATAAATGCCTTCTTCTTCTTCTTCTTCTTCTTCTTCTTCAGGAACATTGCTAAGTTGAGTCCCATTCTGTCTCGCTCTGAACTTGAGACAGTTATCCACACCTTCATCTCCTCACGCTTAGACTACCGTAACTCTCTTTTCACGTGTCTGAGCAGAACCTCCCTGAACCGTCTACAGGTGGTTCTGAACGCCTGTGCACGGCTTCTGACCAAGTCCTCCAAACACACCCACATCACCCCGCTTCTCCTCCAGCTTCACTGGCTGCCAGTCAACTTCAGGGTTCATTTCAAGATCCTGGTTCTGGTCTATAGGGCCTTACATGGACAAGCACCATCTTACATTGGTGATCTTCTTAGTCCCTACACCCCCAGCAGGTCCCTGAGGTCCAGCGATCAAAGCCTACTAGTTGTGCAACACACCAGGCTAAAGATCAAAGGTGACAGATCATTTGCTGCTGTGGCCCCCAGACTCTGGAACTCTCTACCCCTGATCCTGAGATCAGTGGACTCAGTGGACTCCTTTAAAAAGCAGCTGAAGACTTACTTGTTCTAGCTGGCTTTTGGATGACCTTCTTCACCACTCTCTCTTTATTCTGCTCTCCCCACCTATTCCACCTTCCTCAGGATCCACTGATTTCCCTCTTTCCTATTCACTCTCTCTCTTTCTTAACATTTTCTTTTAAATCCCAATCATCTATTTTTGCTCATTTTCAATATATTTTTAAACATTTTCTAAATGCATTTTTATATTTTTACATTTTTTGTTTTTGTGAAGCGCCTCGTGATTTTTTGCTTGAGAGGCGCTATAGAAATGATATTATTTTCTTCTTCTTCTTCTTCTTCTTCTTCTTCTCCTTCTTCTTCTTCTTCTTCTTCTTCTTCTTCTTAACTGTTTTTAAAACTGCCTTTAAAACCCATCTATACCCATTCGACCAGGTTTAGTGTTATTTGTCTTTTGATTGTCCCCTGCCATTTGACTTTATTCCGAATGTTGTTTTTTGATTTGTTTGAGGTTTTTTAATTTTGTTCAGCACTTTGGTCCATGCCTCCTGTTTTTAAAAGACTCTAAATAAACTTGGCTCGGGTACTGACCTGTTTGAAGCCACACTGATGCTCTGCTCACTATTGTGTTTTAAAAATCTAATTTACGAAGAATGTGTAATCACCAATAAAGTTTTTTTTTTCACAAAATAATTCCTAGTTTAACTCTTGCTCCTCCAGGGGTAGAGTGTAAGTTCAGTTACATTTATTACATACAGATATCTGCCCACTTTTCTTTTAATTTTGCTTTATTTGGTCACAATTTAATGTTTTAAATATAAGACAAAGAAAACCTGAGAAAATATATTTAAACAATGATTTCACTTAATATAAACAGTTTAATCTAAACCAACCCTAAAATAAATGAAAACATAATTAAATCTAATACTTGGTTTTATCAACTTTTAACAGCAACAACTGCAATCAAGCTTTTGTGATCAACAATCATGAGTCTCACAAAGGGATTTTGTCCCACTCTACTTCAAAATTTGTTTCAATTCTGCCACACTCGAGGGTTTACCAGGAAAACCACCTTTTTAATTTAACTTTATTTATAAAGCACTTTCACAACCTTATCGGATGCCCAAGGTGCTGAGGTTTAAGGTCAAAGGTCAGGTATTCTCCTTCAGGATGTCCTGCTTCAGAGCAGAATTTATGTTCCATCAGTTACAGCCAGTGTTGGGAGTAATGCGGTACAGAAGTAATTAATTACTGTAATGCATTGCTTTTTGCTGTAATGTGGTAATGTAAGGCATTACAGGGAAAGAAAATGGTAATATTTACTCAGTACAATTGTCAGTAACGCGGTAATTACAATGCATTTTAAACCCAGAATCAAGATGCGTTTCTTAAAAATTCAAATTGCGGAAAACCCGAAAAAAGATCCAGTATCTGCATATATGACGTCATTTATGGACTCAGCTTTGCGAGCATTCTATGAGTAGAGAGGACGCAGCGGTAACGGCTCAAATACTCCAGCTGCGTCCTGCGCGCTCCGTGCCCGCTGTAACATTCACAAAATCGCTCCACTAAAACAAAATAATTCACCTGCGATCGTTCATATCAGCGCATGTTCTCTGGTATTCTGTACTTTTCTGACATGCTTTGCCTCATCTGAGTTGATCTGGGCCCCGGTGATTTCAACTCATTGCTGCTGGAGCGCCGTGCATGTGAAGATCCCTTTGGCTGATAGTTAGAAAGTAGGAAGTCTAGGAAACAGTTTTTTCTGGAAGACGGAGAAAACATGCAGCATGCAGGAAGGTTAGAGAGAGAGAAAGGGAAGGAAATTATTCAAATAAAATCAAGAAAACAAAGCAAAGTGCTTGAAAAAACAAAAAGTTGGTAGATTTATCCCCAATAATCATTTTTACCAGTGAAAAGCAATAATATATAAGCATTCAATATTTATACATGTGATAGAATCAGAGCACCCTCAAAAGTCAGTCCCTCATCCAGGGCCGTATCAAGGCATTTGGGGACCAAGGCTAAATAGACTTGGAGCCCCCACCACCTCACTCCCTGCTCAGTTAATTGAAGATGGCAGCGTGCTGAGAGTACAGTTTGTTGTTTCATTTATTTCATAAACAAGCCTTCTAAAGAACTGTTTTTAACAGCAGTCCTAGCTCAGACACATCACCTTCCACCGCATGTGTCATGAGTTCACCAGGCATTAGATTACCAAACTCATACTGAAGCTGTTTTGTTGAAAGTAACTTAGAGTAATGCAAAAGTAGTGTAATGCCTTACATTTTATAATCAGTAATATTGTAATTTAATGAATTACTTTAAAATGAGGGTAACACGTAATAAACGTATTACAGTTTTGAAGTAACTTGCCCAACACTGGTTACAGCCAGCCAATCAGCCTGGGGTGCTGAATTCTAGGATTCAAAATTCCTGACTGGAAAATTACTTTATTTGTTCCATTCTGCATGTTGGATGATTCACTGGGTCCAATTTCCTAGAAGGTTGCTTATCTCCTCTTTGGTTGACTTTACATTTATATTCTGAGAATTGTTCCTTTGGAATCTGGAAGGAGGATCCTGGTATGACTGGATTAACATCTGTGGACACATTTATAAAACTTTGTATCTTTACTAAAAGTCTACTTACAAATAACTTGAAGGACAACATTCCTTTTGCTCCAGCTTTGAGCTGTGGGATTTGCCTCAGCTTTGAGTTTTTTGGACTTGCCTCCAGTTGCCTTAATTAATAAAGTAACCAACACTCTCTCTGTGCCTTCCTGCATCTCTACTTTTTGCTTCCACATCTCCATCCAACGTGACACATTAACTGTTTTTGTAGAAGCCATCTTGAGAACATTCAACATATCTTTTGAATCTGTTCAATTTTTGGAAATACTTGTTTATTTGATATCCCCCCTCCTATGTTCTGTGTACATTGTGATTTTTTTGTTCAATCGAGTTCTGGAAAAGGTTATTTTAAAACAAAACTTGTAGTGCTGTAACTAGGAGAGTGTGTATAGTAGCGCCATTTGTAGCTCAGATTAATTTTTTTTCTCAGTGTGTGAAATTGGGGGTGTGGCGTGAAAGCATGTGAAGACAGTCAAATGTGTGTGTGTGTGTGTGTGTCACACTCATTGTGTGTTGGCAGCCCTGGGGTCGAGTCAGGAAAAAGCCACATAGATTTCAGATTTATTGACCAAGTAAAAATTGCATTTACAAGGAATTTGGCTTCGGTATAAATGTTAGCTCTCTAAAACATAAAAATTTACAATAAAAATTCTATGTCACACTGAAAAGTTAACATTCATGGATGTGCACATTTTGGTTTACGACAGGGAAGGCTGCATCCCAAATCAACATGTTGATTTTTGCAGCCAGGAGAGAACAGAACGCATCTAACTAGTAGAAGCTAACCGTTAGCATTAGCAACTCTACAACATGGCTGAACAGGTTTGCCCCCTCATCCTAGATGATTGTCCTATGGGCTAATGTCCTGAGCTTGATGACATCTTTGAGCCAACATTTGTGTCTGCTGTTTTCTGATTTCATGGTTTTATTGCTGTCTGAGTCAATAAAGTCAATTTGTTTACAACGACCTGATGTGACCAACAAATGCAGGACAGCAAATGACTGATTAAAGCAAATGGAGGGGATAGAGAGGTACTAGTGGTGCATTTGATCCTTTCATTAGAATTTTTCAACTCGAAAGTTGGTATTTCCGAGTTCCGAGGACAAATCGAACGCATCACAGTTAGTTCATCAGAGCTGCACCTGTGTAGTGTGTTTCAATGGGCGGAGCAGCCAGGGGAGCAGGTGACTGATAAAAAAGTTTATAAAGCTAGAAAAACACAGAGATTCAGTAGTTCCATGATGGCTTTGAGGAAACTGATCCAGTCGCTGGCTCTTGCATTGATTCTCCCTGCAGGTAAGCTGGTCTTTATGGTTATGTTGTCTTCAAATGCTGAGAAATAGTTCAAACAAAAATATAGAGTAATGAGTGGTTTGGAATAATGCTAAAAATCTGTTATTAGCTGTTTCAGTACATTGACACTCAACTGTGTCTCAAATCAATATGTGAAATATATTTTTGTCACATTATAGATAGTTGAAAATTGCTTATAATAATAACTTGGCTCTTTGTAATGTGCTAAATCAACTTTTTTACAAATTAATCCATACATTTAGATTCTATCATTAGTACATAATATAATTATAACACATTTCTTGATGGCTCATTTGTAAACCACATCTTCTCTAAAATTAATCTTTCCCCCATTTCCAGAATCACACGCACAACTTGATGGTAAGTACATCATACATTCATGTTTGATTTAAAATAATTTATTGAGCATGTGTTTCTGCAGAAAACCCCAACTAAACTGTCTTATAGTTTGTGGCATCGCTCCTCTCAACCCCAAGATAGTCGGAGGTGGAGATGCTGCTCCTGGAAGTTGGCCCTGGCAGGTGGAGCTGCTGAAATTTGGCAGCTTTTATTGTGGCGGCTCCCTTATCAGTAGAGAGTGGGTGCTGACTGCTGCTCACTGCGTCTCTGGGTGAGAGACGTTAGAAATGGGATTAGATCAGTATTTGTCGAAGAAGGCAAATATTTGATGTGATTGGATTTGCTGCACAGTGAAATACTTGACATTCCTGAAAACTTTCACCTGAAAACAGAACAGGAAACAGCTTCATGTTGCATTAATCTTTTAGCCTTTTCTTTCTTTTTAGAACAAATATTTTCATGTGGCAAGTATTTCTTGGCCGTCAGTACCTGAAAGGCAACAACCCAAATGAAGAGTCTAGAGGAGTTTCTAAAATCATTTCACACCCCAAGTATAACAGCAACACTTATGACAATGACATGGCCCTGCTCCGACTCTCCGCTCCTGTAAAGTTCACACACTACATCAGACCGGTGTGTCTGGCAGCGAGTGACAGCGAGTTCAACAACGGTACTGAGAGCTGGGTCACAGGCTGGTGGACCGTGGGGGAGGGAGGTGAGTTAGGATGGAAAGACCATGCTCATGTTTCTGTTTTTGTTGTATGAAAAGTTTCATATACTTTAAATTCTTGCAGAATTCTTACCTTCCCCTGAAACTCTTCAAGAAGTAAAAGTTCCAGTGGTTGGGAACAGACAATGTGACTGTCTGTACGGAGATACTGTGATCACAGACAACATGATCTGTGCTGGACTTCTATCAGGAGGAAAAGACTCGTGTCAGGTGGGTGCTTCTAAGGAGAAATGACCATATATGAATTTTACCCACAGAGCAACCGTGTGATGGTGTAGGCAGAGCCGGATTTAAATAAATGGACTACACTAGGCATTCTGCGTTGGTGCTACAGCGTCTTCCGCCGCATCTTCCACCGCGTCTTCGGGTCGTGTCTCCTCCAGGTCTTGCTCGGGCCCGGCCTCTGGCTCTGCTGACTCGTGCAGGTTCACAGCTGTCGGACGGCTGCCCGAGCAGCCCGACAGAAACTTCTTTAAAGCCCCCCGCTGTCTCTTCTTTTGTTTCTCTTCATTTTTATTATTTACGTTTTGCTGCACCCAAAAGCATCGTGAATGTTAGCCTACCCAAAAACACCTGCTAGCTTTGTTGTGTCCCGCTCTGACTCTGACCGTTTCTCTGACATCATTAATTGGGTGGCGCCCAAGTTGTAGGCTACAGTCATGGGCTGGCGTTAATGTGACGTAGCTAATGTAACAGTCTATGGTTAAGATAAATATTGTCACTATTTTTAGTTAATCAATAAATATTGAAATAAACTGTAGATAGCAGTCCTATCCACAAATTCTATCATAGGACATTTGTACATTTTATTTTAATTAATTTATTTTTAATTTTGTCCCTCTGTCTGGGCCCCATCCAGCCAATCAGGCCCTAGGCACGTGCCTACTTTGCCTTTGCGTTAATCCGGCTCTGGGTGTAGGGGTTTGGTGTTTGTTTTGTTCTCTCATTTTTAGTTATGCTCTTTGTTTGGATAATTGTATCAGTTTTACTTGAGGACCTATTTGCCTAATTTATTTTTGTTTCAATCCTGGTCCCTCTTCTTTCCTAGCTATCCTTACTCGTCAATAACAATTTATATAGCTCTTTGTTTCTCAATTCAGTCATCAAATCATCTTATAGCTGACACTTTCAGTTCCTTTACTTTATTTTTTAATGAACGTTTTTTTATTTGATTTCCTGCATGATTGCTCTCATAAAAACTCACGTAAAGTTACCTTAATGTTATTATGAAAAATACACTTTTTTTTAACCATGTGATGTTATTTCATCATGAGAAATTCCCCCAAGCCATTTTTTTGCTGCAAAAATTGCATGTAAAAAGAGGGTCAGGGAGAAAGGTGGAAGTGAGATTGAGGGTTTGGTAGAGAGGTAGAGCAGGGTGTCATCCGCATAGCAATGAAAAATGGATGTTGTGTTTCCAAAAAATGTAGCCTAGTGAAAGAAGGTAAATAATGAAAAGAAGAGGCCCAGGACAGAGCCCTGGTGCACACCAGCATTCTGGGACATATTAGCATTCTCTTTTAACTGATGTCACGTTAACATGTAATGCTCAATAGTTGGTTATTTTTGTTCTGAGTTCCACGGCTGCTTCATTCAATCCATCTCTTTGTGGGGTAAAATTAACATGTTTTTTGTTTACTTGTTGTTTACTTCAGGGAGACTCTGGAGGTCCAATGATGAGCAAGCAGGGCTCGGTCTGGGTTCAGTCTGGAATTGTTAGTTTTGGTCGTGGCTGTGCTCGTCCCAGCCTGCCAGGAGTCTACACCAGAGTGTCTCGCTACCAGCCCTGGATCAGCTCTAAAATCAGGTCTGATAAACCTGGTTTTGTCCAGTTCACCTCTGGTGGAGAAAATCCTGACAACACATTCATCTGTCCTGGTCCATCAGCATCTTCAGCAAGAACAGAAGCTGTTCCTTCAAGTTAGAGCCTTTAAAAGATCTTTTTGTAGTAAATGTAGTAATTTTACTTTCTCTGGGTTGTTTCTGCCATTTAAAAATATTCTTCCATATTTTTTAGAGTCTGTTTGCAGCAGTGCCTTCATAAAATCTTCTCTAGTAAACCACAGCAGAACTGTCAGAGGAACAATTCCATGGATGGTTAGTCTCCACAGAAATGGGCTCCATGCTTGTGGAGGGACCTTAATCACTTACCAGTTTGTGCTTACATCAGCTAAATGCTTCTCTGTGTGAGTATGGAAGCAATTTGTTTACATTTTAATAATACAATATTGGGCATATTCTCCTAAAACATTCTTTTCACAGTTCCAATCCTGATGTTCAAGACTGGACTGTGTTTCTGGGACAGCCCTCCGTGAATGGCTCTGAGGAATGTGAGGTATCTGTTGGTGTTGTGAACATCACATTTAGCAGCACGACGGGCTCCAATATTGCTCTGCTGCAGCTGGCGGAGCAAGTGAGCTACAGCAGAAACGTCCAGCCTGTATGTGTGCAGGTACACAATGTTCCTGTTAGTGGGCAGTGTTGGGTGGCTGGCTGGAGGAACCGAGCAAAGTCTACTGGTAAGAGTTTATAGAAAATAGCGTTGCTTTATACTTGCTTGGACTTGGATTGATTGGATTATTCAGATAAAGTGGATTAATGTGAGTGGATTTGTTTCTGGTAGGTATTAAAGCTGGATTAGAGCTTCAACACCTAGAAGCTCAGGTGGTAAAATGTGTAAATGTTTCTGATTTGGACAACATTTGCACTTCTTCTATGGACCTTCAACTGGTAAACAATCTACCCCTGTCATTGGTTTATTGTATGTGTCTTTAGCTGCTATTCTTACCCCCCCCCAAACAAACTGGTTTGTTTCATCTACAGGTGGATCAAGGTGCAGCTCTCTTATGCAAGTCAGGCTCATCGTGGTCCCAGGTGGCTGTTGTTACAATGAGTGAAGGTGGATTGGTCCCTGCAGGTGTTCAGACTTTTACAAAAATATCAAGGTTTAGATTATTTTTAGGGGAGATAGAGGGCAGCCTGCCTCCACCTGAAGGACGGCTGACAGGATCAGGTTTCTGTGTTTCATCATTCCTGTCCATGACTGTCCCCGTTGCCTCACTGCTCCTGTTGTTGTAGGCAGGGGTGAGGTGATGCTCACTCCTCACCCCTGCCAAGTGGACCTCAAGGGATAAACCATCAATCCTGCTCAATGGTCAACTTTCCTGGCGGGGTCACCCATGAAGACAGTGGGAGGGTTAAATAGACACAGGCTGAGCACTAGAACCAAGCCGAAACAGCCGCTTGTGTTGAAGCCTGTTTTCCACTAGAACCGTTCATAAGCTCTATTGGCTTTGCTGATATTTGCTAACATGTGATTGGCTGTTCCTGCCACCTGTGTACTTGCTGCATTCCTGAAATTGCATGAAAGAGTCTCTAGGCTGTGTCAGGTGCTTCCCCAGTTTATTTGTTGTACCTGTCCCTGATTTGTATCAGCACACCTGTCCCTGTTGCTTCTTACAAGCTCTTCTGAATCGCCGTTCTGGTGTGTTTTTGTTACTCTTGTCCTGTCTAGTTAGCTTGTTCACTTTGTGTCACACTGCTTTAAATAAAACAGTAGTTTGACTAACCTCACTGCCTCCTGCTGATGCTTTCAGCGTTTGGGCCCTGCCCCACCACACCATGGTAGGCAGTAGGTCCCACGGTTACTTTATGATTCATGCAATGCATCATTATGGATTCCAGGACTCAGCCTGTCGGAACGGAGAGCTGTCAGACCACCTGGTTGTGCGAGCTGTCAAGTCTGGCGGTTTTTACTGGTTTTTAACTGGTTTTAATCCTTCTTGGTTTTAACCGTTTTTTTGTTTATTGTTTTGTTTTTTTACCACAGTGAGCTTTTTATTTAATTTTTTTAACTTTTTAAATAACTTTTTGGAGCTCGACTGCTGTGTGTTTTTACCTGCTGTCTACTTCCACCTGCCTCATACCTCTCACCTGCAGCCCTGGGTGTGTCGGCTGTGTGAGGCTGAGCCAGAAAGTTGTAGAGCTGGAGAAGAGGATATCCACGCTCCACCAAATCCACGACCATGAGCGCGATGTGGACACCATTTTCTCTCGGACCTTCGCCACCACTGATGGGGCTCAGCTGTCGGATGGCGTCTCATGCCAGCCCGGCGTAACTGCTAGGGCAAATTCCATCTCCGGCTCTCTAAGCAGGCTCGGAGTGCCGGGGGCCTGCACAGCATTCGCGGTGGAGGAGGAGCGCTGTTTCCAGCTGGGGGCAAAGCCAAAAGCCCCCCTCAGCTCCACTCCCTTGCTCCAGGGTGCATGGGTCAAGGTTGGGTCCGGCCAAGGTGGGGGTACGCGGGGCGGCAGCCGCCGATCTCCTCCACCTAGCCTGTCCTTGTCCAACCGTTTCGGCGCCTTGGAGTTGGATTTTCCTCCTTTGCCAGCCCCTGGCCGTGACTTTACAGGACCCTCCCAGCCGCTGCGGGACCAGCCGAACGGCAGCAGCCCTCCACGTCGCACAACCCCCCAGACTGAAGCTGGGACCCACCAAGGAGCGCTGACTTCTCGTCGCTGCAGTCCTGGGGGAGCTTAGCCCATCACTCAGCAGGCCCTGGAAGGCATAACCCCCAAGACTGAAGCTGGGACCCACCAAGGTGCACTGACTTCTTGTTGCTGCAGCCCTGGGGGAGCTCAACCCATCACTCAGCAGGTCCCGGAAGGGTCCTCTGCCCAGCTTCAACCAACTAACACACGGATGATGGGGGACTCCATCATCCGTAATGTCAGGATGAGAGGAGCCCTGACCTTCTGTTACCCCGGAGCTACAGTGTTGGACATTGCAGGACACATCCCAGACCTCATCCAGAAACACACAACAGTGAGTAGAATCATCATCCACACCGGTACCAATGACATCCGTAATCAGCAGTCAGAGCTCCTCAAGCAAGATTTTATTCACCTTTTTAATCTTTTAGGAACTATGCACCTGTCTGTTTTTATCTCTGGCCCCACTCCCACCATGGGCAGAGGAATCAGCCATTTTAGCAGACTTTTATCATTAAACACCTGGCTTTTCTCTGCCACTGTGACCTGTAATGTTGGTTTCATAGACAATTTTAACATTTTCTGGGGCAGGAGACATCTGTTTGGAGCGGATGGGCTTCACCTAAATCAGACCTGGGCATTTTACGGCCCGTGGGCCACATACGGCCCTTTGGTTGACTTTGACCGGCCCGCGTAAGGTTAATTGGAAATTACAAAATAAATGTATTTTCTCATTTTACCTCATGCATGGGCTAAGGCTGCATTGCTTTTATTTTGAAGTTGTTTTTACGTGCACAATGACGCAATACGTATAGCAACAAGTGCCCGCGGTTGACATGGTGATTGTAGCCCCAGAAATGTCCACTCATGCAAAAAAAAAAGAAAAAAAGAAAAAAGAAAGAAAGATGCCAAATACAGGATTTTCAACAAAAATTGGACTGCTAAGTTTTTTTTTTTTTTTTACTGAAGTCGGAGGCAAAGCCGTGTGTTTGGTTTGTGGGGAACAGATTGCCATGTTTATGGACTACAATTTGAGTCGGCGTTACGACAAGAAACACTCGGAAAAATACAAGAACTCATCTGATGCTGAGAGGGCACGGACATCCGAAGCTTTGCTAGCAAAGTTGCAAAAGCAGCAAGGCTGTTTTACTAAGCTTCACACATCCAGGGATGCAGCAACCAGGACCAGCTTTGTGATATCCCACAAAATAGCTAAAAACAGCAAGCCGTTTTCGGAGGGAGAGTTCGTCAAAGAGTGCATGGTGGACTCTGCAGCACTAATATGCCCTGAAAAAAAGGCACATTTGAGCAAATCCCGCTGTCCAGGCGAACCGTGGGGAACCTGGAGCTTCAGCTGCAACGTGAAGTGGCAAGTTTTGACTTTTTCTCATTGGCCTTAGACGAGAGCTGTGATGTCCGGGGATAACGGAGCTCACAGAGGAGCTGGCAGCAATGCGGTCGATGAAAGGGACAACGACAGGGAGTGATCTTTCTACAGAGGTAAATGCGTGCACGGACACTCTGGGATTGAAATGGGAGAGACTGTCAGGTGTCACAACAGACGGTTGTCCAAATCTTACAGGGAAAAATGTCGGACTTTTGAAACGCATGCAAGATAAAGTGACAGAAATCGATGCAGATCAAAAATTGGTGTTTTTGCATTGAATTATACACCAACATGTGTTGTGCAAGTCAGTGCTAAAAATCAACCATGTTACTGATGTTGTTACTAAAATAATAAACTTCATCAGGGCACGGGCGATGAATCACAGACAGTTTGTGGCTCTTTTGGAGGACCCCACACAGCTGTCAGATGGCTCAGCCTGGGGAAAGTGCTGAAGAGGGTTTGGGACTTGAAAGTAGAGATTCAGGATCTCTGCTGGATTTCTACTCTTCTCTTAAGGAGGAGAGCTTCCCAAACCTGAGGAGACATGCTCAGAAGATGTTGGTTTTCTTCGGCTCTGCCTACATTTGTGAACAAACATTTTCAATGATGAAGTTTACAAAATCCAGGTAAAGATCCTCTCTCACTGATGATCATTTGTCAGCTGTGCTTCGCTTCTCCACCTCAGACATTCAACCTGACTTTGATGCACTCGTTAAAGCCCAGCAGAGACTAGATTTCTCTCACTGAATAAGAAAAAAATCACTTAAAAACACAAAATAAGGTGTTTGGACCACAAATGTAGGCAACTAGCAGTGAACTGGGACACTTTTTTTTAAACCTCTTTCTCAAGATCACAGTTCAGTGATTTTATTTTACAGACGATACTGTGTGTCTGTAGAATGCTAAGAACCTCTTTCCAACAATATTTGAAACTCAGAATGTGTTTTGGAGTGAATGTGACTGAAACTGTTAACTAATTTAAGTCACAAATGTTTAACAAAAACCAAATGCTCACTTTGTTTACCATTGCCTTGGGAAATTTGAACAAATCACATTTTTGCAAGCCAACCTCACTTTTTCCTTTTTACTCATTTATAACATATAGTCTACTCTTACCAGCTTGAAAAAACGATGTTATTTACTGCTTTTTATAAAGAAATACCATTAATATTATGCATAATTGACTTCAGCCTTTTGGCCTGGCCCTCCACAATATTTTCGATTTCTCATGTGGCCCCATGGAAAAAATAATTGCCCACCCCTGACCTAAATAGACAGGGGACCCACACTCTAACCATGAGCCTGGCTTGTCCACGACCCCCCTGTCTACTCCACTGGCCTCATCTGCTCCCACTTCCTGATGTGTAGCTGGTCCCTGCTCCTACCAACCCAGCCTTGAGTTTAACAGTAAATCACATATCGGACTTGGACCTTGCCGTACCTCATTCATACCTGTTATTATCAGCAGAGAGCGGACAAACAATCATAAACCCCAATAATCTAAAACAGTTACCAAAAGTCCCACCTTCAGTTAATACAGTCACTCCTTCACCAGTTACTATTAATATGGCTCTTTTAAATGTTTGTTCTCTGCTGAACAAAACGTGTTTAATAAATGACCTGATTTTACATCGCAATCTTCATCTGCTTTTAACAGAAACATGGCTGAGTTCAGATGCACCTGTTGTTCTCAAAGAGGCTTCTCCGCCAGATTTTAATTTTTCAACGACGAGTAGCAAAAGGGGAGGCGGTACTGCTTCTATTAGTACATCAATACTTTCTGCCAAACCAGTTTTATTTGATATTTTTACCACTTTTACCACAGCAGCAGTTTTTAGCTCTCCTCAGATTTTATGTGTCACAGTTTATCGGCCTCCTAAGCAGAGTGCCATTTTTATTCAAGAATTTTCAGAGTTTTTATCAATCCTGCACAACTCCTTTGATAGGATCATTTTAGCCGGTGATTTTAATCTACATGTAGATAATCCTTCTGATCCTTCTTCAAAGGAGTTTTTAAATATTCTGAGTTATATGGATTTTAGTCAACATGTCACACAGCCAACTCACAACAGAGGACACACCCATGACTTGGTCATCACGTATGACCTGTCCACCAGTGTGCCCTCTGTTATTGATTTGGCTGTATCTGATCACTACTGTGTATTTTTTAGCATCACCAGTTTTATCCAGCTGGAACCCTCTGTGAGAACTGTAAGGAAGCGTCATCTCACCCCTGAAGTGGCTGCAGGTTTTCTTGAAGTTTTTAGAAAGATCCCTCCCACTCCGGTAACCGCCTCTTGTGATTTTACTGTCAATGATTTTAACAATAGACTGAAATCCGCTCTCGACCTGCTCGCGCCACTTAAAATCAAAAGTCTATATTCAAAACGTGCTTCACCATGGAGAAATGAAAATCTAAAGAAACTAAAGAGAAATTGCAGGGTTGCAGAGCGGAGATGGAGAAAGAACAAAACAACTATAAATCATCAAATATATACAGAGCTACTTAAATCATATAATAACGCAGTGAGAAATTCAAGACACGCATACCTTTCCAAACTCATTCTAGACAATAAACACAATCCCAGAATACTTTTTTCCACCATAAACAACATTTTAAACCGTACATCCACTTCCCCTCAGAAAACACCCTCAAATGCACTCTGTGAGGAGTTTGCAGCCCACTTCAGAGGGA